AGGGAGAGCAATAGATGGTATTCTTTGTACCGTATTGCAAAATTTTTATAAATTTATTCTTCATTAATTTATATATATAATTATATTTTCTCTTGGACTGGAAACCTAGACTTAATATAAAAATATTAATAAATTTTTAGTTCAACCACTAAATCAAGAAAAGTTTCAAAAAATATTTATTTTATCTTTTAAAAAATGTTAATACGATAAAAATACAATACCTAAGGTAGGTTTTGTGGAAATAAATGATGCGATGAATCGTCGACAGTAGAATACTGTGAGTGCTGAGTACTACTTAATATATTATTTGTCTTGATATCATTTGAATGTACAACAAATTTTTTTTTTGGACATCAAAAGACTATTCAATCCTTCAAACTAGAGGTGGAATCCAAACCAAGATAGAACAACCAACAAAGATAAAATTTCTATAGAAAGATCAAGCCGTCCTGGGAAATGCGTTTGCAGTCTTGTTATGGTCCCTCAGAATATAGGTGATCTTAAAGTCAAGAATGATCTTTCACAACTGCGAACTCCTTAAGCCTGTCGAATAATTTGCCACACTTTTGAATCCTTGGCCATTGCTATTACATCCTTGCAGTATGTGCCAAAATGTTGACAAGAAGTATGTTGTGACATATTCTCCATCGTCCAGATCAACGCCCTAATTCAGAAATACAACGGAGATAATCATCTCACAATGTTTTTCACCCTATGAGTTGCTTTTATCCATTATCATCAAGGTATACCCATCCACACCCACTAAAAAGAGACTCCTTTGTCCATGACTCATCAACCAGGCTTGTACTTCCTGAGGCTGGTGTGGTATTGTATCCGTTGATGTTGAATTGGCCTCAACCAAGCATTGCATTCACTCTCAGCATATCTAACTATCTCAAGGGGATCACTCGCTAATCCTTTAAAAAATTTATCATTCCTGGCTTTACGGAGATACCAGATGATCCAAGGATATGGATCCTCTATCGCATTCTTCCTTCACAATAGATAGTCCAGATTGGCATAGACACTTGAGATAGGGAACAACGTAGGACTTGATGGTGCGGAGGCATGGGCCCATGTTTGTAGAGCAGGTGGGTATTCAAAAATTGCATGATTGACAGATTCATCTTGTTTCCCATATCTTGGAAAGTGATTATCACATTGCATATGAGATGTTCTATGCTATATTTTTTTTGTTACCGTGAGAAAACTTGATAGTTCCAACTATTTTTGTCCTCTCTATATGATTAGCTAATGGCCATGCTTCGAATCAGAGGAATATCCTCTTGGGCCAAAAATTTCTCTAACATTCCACACTTTTGGCATGCCATGTATAATATTAGTGACTATTCTTCGTTGGTAAACCACTGGCGCAACTGACGTAGCAGGTCTTGCAATAGTTGTGGGGTTCCATGGATCTTGCCAAACATTGATTTGATATCCAGAATGCATATTTTGTCAAATTCCAAACATTAATAAAGGCTTTTGCTTCCATGAACCTTGTCCATATATACAAAGGAGTCACAGCTATAGTTGATTTTATTATTGAACATGTACAGTGGTATCTCCCACGAAAAACTCTTGCAAGAAGAGAATCGAAGAACTGAACCAGACGGCATAGTTTCCTAGCCAAGAGGGCTATATTTAATTTGTGGATTAAACGGAAACCAATTCCCCTTGCTCCTTTGCAAAAAAAAAAACAGTTTCTCCTATCTTTCCTAGTGCATTCCTCAGTTAGGTGGATTAGAACTCGACCAATAGTGTGCTATGGAATTTGCTAAGTTTTCACATATTTCCAGAGGAAGTAGAAAATGACATAACATATATCGGAAGCGTCAATGCAATTTATTTTATAAGTATTCCTTTCAACCCTTAGACAACCATCTACCAGTCCACATTTATCCTATGATCGAGCTTATACTTTAGTAAAGCAAATAGCTTGCATTTGGATCCACTTATGCCCTCTGGTATACCAAGATAGGTTCCTATGCCTCCTTCGTTCTCAATGCCCAGAGTATCTTTAATTTGTTGATTTATGTCTTTTGGGATTCTCTTCCCAAAGAGGAGAGAGGATTTCTCAAAATTGCTACATTGTCCAGATGCCTTCCTATACACTTTTACTACTTTCATTACTTCAGCATCTTCACGGGGCTCCACCTTATAGAAGAAAAGGCTATCATCAGAAAATAAGAAGTGGTATACTTATGGGCTAGCACGTGCAAAACGCATCCCAGTGATCTTTCCTTGATTCTTTGCATGATTAAGAAGGCTAAAGAGAGCTTACGTGCATAAGTGATATGTGCTCAAATTATCCTAGAGCTACTGATTACTCTCTCAAATAAGAGGTTCAGCTTAGTACTTAGGGACTGCATCCATAGAGAGCGAAGATACACAATAGATTTGATAATCAACTTAGTTACATTAGGCAATTTATAAGGCTTTTAGAGGAAATAGTTGGGTTGTAAGGAATTAAGGAAAATATCCACATCTAGGGATTTCAGATAGTGAATTATAATAGATAGAATGCTAAGGGATTTTCTATCATAGAGCACGAATTTAATTGATAAAGATATTGTAATTTATATATATATATATATATATATATATATATATATATATATATATATATATATATATATATATATCTATGGGTAAGCTACAAGTATACAACTTTTGTATGCAGACTTCAAATGACCGTCGATCGATGGTATGTAAAAGCCATCGATGGATGGCTTTCTTACTCAAGCATTATTGCAACCAGATTCACCTAATCACCTACGATTACTAGACCAACTCTCGTATGTATCTAGTTTTCTAAGCTCATAAGGGTTAATTCTAGTATTGATCATGCAATCACACAATTCTTAATATCTGAAGTTCATGGTTAGGTAGCTAATCAATAACTCAAACAGTAAGCACAAATCTGATGATAAATATAATAATCACCTTAGAAATTATTTTGTTTGACTAATCCATCAAAACCTTTAATAAACACTAAATCTAACAAGATGGCTACTCAAACATAGCAAACAAGAACATAATCATAATCATAATCGTAATCATAAACTACTGCAGATAAAGAATATGATAGAAACTCGAGTTCCGATACAAAGCTCTGAAAAATTCTTGATCTTCTACCTAACAACCCTAAACTACTATGTTTTTTCTAAAGAGTATTAATAAGTAAAAAAAAATGGTCATTTGCATAAAACATCGGCAAATACCATATAAACTAGGTAAAACACGCCCAGGGCCAATCTTGTAAATTGTTGTGACTTGGGCTTCAAGTCGGCTACTTCGCGGATTAGAGCACCAGTGCGTTGACCGTCGATCGACGGCAAGAGTGTGTCATCGATAAATGCTATGCTCTATCTTGACTTCATACTTAGCTGAATATAACCAGCTACGGGGTTCTCCTTTCTCTTTTAGCTTTGAAAAGCCTCATAATCTCCACAGTGCTCCAAAACAGAACTTGGATCTGAAAAGACTAAAACACATCCTAAGACACATATAAAAGACTCCAAATAGGGCCCATAACATGGTCTAGAGTGGTAAATATTGAGACCTATCAACTCCACCAGACTTAACATTTTGCTTGTCTTCAAGCGAAACAAGGGTAAACATGCGGAGGAGATTTTGAAAAACAGGGACTCACAGAATCTCTAACTTATCATTATTACATCTAATATGTTGCAACTAGGGCTGGACGCAAGGCAATTATTTACTATTTTGCATGTACTTGCGACTTGACTTACCTTGCACGAATAATAAAAAATTTGACTTGTATTTGACTTGTTAAAAACGAGTACTTGATCAAAAAGAATGACTTGCAAGTTACTTGCCTTGATCAAAATGATCAAAATGGGTGTGGGTATCTAGGGAGTAGTCATTTCAAATATTGAATACTTAATTTGAGAGTTTTTGAGTTGAAGGGTTTTAATAGTAAAAACCTATTTTATTCTATGATATTTATCAATTTAGGGAATTTTAAAAGATTGATAATATACAATTCCTACAAGACTTGCTACTCCAGTTGCGTCCGTAGTCCATCCACAAATGATATTGGTCAATCTCATACATAGCACACCAAAAGTGTGGAATGTGGGAATGTTAGAAGAATTTGTGGTTCAAGACGATATTCTTTTAGAGCTTGGCCATTAACCAGTCCTATAGAGAAGATAAATACAGTTGTAGCTATACCACGATAAAATATGGTTATTGGGTGGCGAAGAATATATTATATAAAACTCTTGATGTATTAGTTTCAGAAAAGTATAACAAAGTTACAAGTTCATGCATGGAAAATCAATGTTCAACAAAAAATGAAACATTAAATTTGGCAGATAGCTCCTGGTTACACGGCGGTAACAAGAAATTTAACATATCTTCATATACGATGTGATAATCACTTCTCAAGATATGAATCTGCCAAACATGTAATTTTTGAATATCCACCTACTCTACAAACATGGATCCATGCCTCCACACCTTCAAATCCTGTGTTTTTTCTTATCTCAAGTGTCTATACCAATCTGGACTATATTTATGATGTTCAAAACCGAATGAGTCTTGTCCTAAAAGAGATAGACTAAGTTGGTTTTGAATCAGCCAACAAATCAAAACTACTAAAACGTTTGACGATTGTAGAAATTTTCAAAACAAAATCATTGTCTTGACATTTAAAAAGATAAAAATAAATATAAAAGTGCTGGACTTAAGTATCTGTAATCACAACATCGCTCTAAGTTTCCTTTTTAAATCATCTCATATGCCTCAGTGATGATGGTATACTAAAAGACTGACATCTTTCCCGGTCAGCTTTTTGTACCCGTAGAGAAAGCCTCAAACGTGTACTCACTGTTGTTCCTCTCTTATTTTTTGTTAGAAAAATATTAAAAGCGAAATAAAATATTCTTTTCGGTCAGGTTACTTCTTTCATGTGAAAAAAACACTGTGCCTATAAATTTGGTGGTGAAACCTGGTTTCCCATATCATTAGTGGTGAACATGAAAGCCATTGGAGTTTTTGGACCAAAACTTGAATCTAAACTCTCTATTCGTTCACAGACGAATACATTTTCGTCAATCAAACTCTCTTGCTTCTCGCGAACCTCATTTCCTGGTAAACCCCGAAAGCTTGTTCCTTTGAAGGCCAGTACCAACACTCTGGCTTGTGAAGATGAAAAAAATCGCAAGTTCACGAAGATGGCCCCTTCTGAGTGGGGTCACCAATTCATCGATGTTCATGTTGATGTCTCAGTAAGTATATATACAGAATCGTGCATATTTTAGTGAAAATAAGAGAGACGACCATTTTCTAAAACTATCAAATTATATATGTATTTTACATTTTTTTGAGATGAGCATTTTTGGGGTTTTATCTATTTTGCCTCTTTTAATCATTGTTCCTCATTTGCTGCGTATACAAAATCATGTTTTAGTATATACATGTATAGAGGATATATATGAAATCATGTCTAAATTTCTTTATTGTTTAGGAAATGGATTCGATTAGAAAAGAAATCGAAGCAATAAAGCCAAAAGTGGAGGACATATTCTTGTCTTCCAGTGAAGTTGATTCAAGCAAGAAAGATATATGTTTCATCTATTTGCTCGTCAGCCTTGGTCTTGCGTATCATTTTGAAGCTGAGATTGAGGAGAATCTAAGAGATGGTTTTATTAAGTTTGAAGAGATGTTATCTGGTGAAGATGATTTGTACACAGTTTCCATCATCTTTTGGGTTTTCAGAACATATGGTTACAATGTTTCTACCGGTAAGGATTCTCTACCTAGATCAGACAAGTGTTTTGTCATTTGTGTGATTAATAATTATAGCAAGGTGATTCCGATAATATTCCACATCTAAAAGAAATAATAGTTCGTAGTTATAATACCTCACTTGCACTGAACAAAAAGAGTATGAAGTCGTGCTTAATTATGCTTCTATCGTGCCACTTGGGAGAGCGGTTTGATTCCTAAATTTATATTCAACTCGCTGGCTCCGAACTTCAGATATCTTGTCTTATAATTTAGAAGATTGTATTATTATAAACATAGGTTCTATATTTTAGAAGAAAATATGGAAATACATCTTGTCTTATCATTTGGCTTTTGCGGGTTGGTTATATCCATTAGATTTTACAGGTCTAAACCTAGCGATTCATTTTTTTTTATGAATAGATGTTTTTAGAAGATTCAAAGGGGATGATGGAAAATTTAAAGAATGTCTTAAGGAGGATGCCAAGGGTATCTTGAGCTTGTACGAAGCTTCTCACATAGGGACAATGACAGATTATATATTGGACGAAGCCATGAGTTTCGCATCGAGTTACTTGGAGAAGTTAGTTGCAAGTGGGACATGCCAGCCTCATCTTTCCAGGAGTATACAAAATGCTTTAGGACAACCGCAACATAAGAATGCGGAGATACTAGTTGCAAGGGAATATATCCTGTTCTATGAACAAGAAAAAGACTGCGACGAGACGTTACTAATGTTTGCCAAGCTTAACTTCAAATTCCTCCAGCTACTTTACCTTCAAGAACTCAAAGAGCTCTCGATGTAATCTCCTTAACTACTAGTATTTATATCTACATTCTTAGAGCTTCTTTATACAACCCTTAGAAAGAAGTTAATTCTCATCATTGTAATTAATGTACTTTGGATGGCAGATGGTACAAGGAGAAAGACTTTGAATCGAATTTGCCACCTTACTACAGAGACAGATTAGTGGAAATGCACGTATCGACGCTAGCATATTTCGAGCCAAAATACTCACGTGTGAGGATTATGGTAGCTAAACTATTCGCGATTCAAATAGTTCTTGATGATACATGTGATAGATATGCTTCTCTTCGTGAAGTTGAAATCCTTGCCAGTGCAATCGAAAGGTACTCTATATATATAGGTTAAAGTTGTTTGAGTTCTTTTCATCGTCTACAAGTCACATGTTAACGTTTTTTGGTTTCAAAATAGGAGTTATGACACGGCGACTACACTAGTTCATCTAAAATAATTAATATATCTCCTATAGCACTAATAAAATATAAGTGATGTTAAATTTCAATTTCTGATTAAGTGATGCTATTTTTTTTTCGATTGATGCATAAACAATACATTCTGATGATGTAGGTGGGATCTCGATGNGACGGTTTTAATCCATTTAATATGAAGAACACGATGTACAGTTGCTGGCCAGTTCTGCTAGTCAACTACAACTTGCCACCTGATTTATGCATGAAGAAGGAGAACATCATGCTGAGTCTGTTGATTCCCGGTCCACAACAGCCTGGTAATAGTATAGATGTCTACTTAGAACCTCTCATTGAGGATCTAAACCAGCTGTAGAGCACTGGAGAGTTAGTCTACGACGCTTTGACTCGATCATGTTAACGTTTTTTGGTTTCAAAATAGGAGTTATGACACGGCGACTACACTAGTTCATCTAAAATAATTAATATATCTCCTATAGCACTAATAAAATATAAGTGATGTTAAATTTCAATTTCTGATTAAGTGATGCTATTTTTTTTTCGATTGATGCATAAACAATACATTCTGATGATGTAGGTGGGATCTCGATGACTCCATGGATGGCCAACCTGATTATTTGAAATTTGCGGTTAAATTTATATTCGATACTTTCCAAGAGTTTGAAAGAGAAGTAAAATCAGAATTAGGAGGATCTTACAGCTTGAAAGCTACAATTGATGAGGTACTAATATAGTAAATTATTTTTCTCTGTTACTATAATGCATGTGTTTTCAAGAATAACCATTTCAAATGATTTTTGAAGAACCCAATAGTAAAATGTTTAGATTTTGAGCATTGCAGTGCAAGAGAATCACGAGAGCCAATCTTAAACTCGCTAAATGGGCAGAAGCGGATCACGTCCCTAGTTTTGAGGAGTATCTAGAAGTTGCTGGAGTTGAGGTCGCTGTGGATTTTACTTTAGCTGGTGTTTTGTTGGCTATGAAAGATATCTGCAAGAAAGAAGCCTATGAGTGGTTGAAATCTAGAGACGAACTTGTGATATCAATGTATATAATAACTAGAGTGCTAAATGATCTTTGGGGCTACGAGGTACAAATGAGGGATATTTAATTTTTATTCTAGAAATTCATATGTTGTTTATTGATAACCAAACTTACAATTTTGACATTGATTAGGATGACATGAACAGAGGGTATGTCACAAACTCGATTAACTGTTACAAGAAGCAATATGGAGTTACGGAAGAAGAAGCATTTATAAAACTTCGTCAAATTAATGCAGACGCTAATAAGAAGTTGAACGGGGAGCTTTTGAAGCCAATTAACGTACCACGCGAAGTTCTAAAAGCAATGTTTAACTGTGGACGTATGACGAATGTTTGCTACGAAATAGATGATGAATTTACCCGTCCTGGTGAAAAAATCAAGAGCCATATCACTTATATGTACCTTGATGTTTGATTGATAAGTCTGTTTGAGACTTTGCTTCGTTTTCGGAATAATGGACATGTTCTCATTAGTTATTTGAGTCAATTCAGGTTTACAACTTGTTAATCGATCTGGTGTGTGGTGTGTGGTGTGTTGTGTGTAGTTTTCGTGTGTCATGTGTACTGTGTCTTTTATTTACGTTGGGTCAGTTCTTGTATTATTCCCTGTAAAAGGCATTGGAAGTATAAATAAAGTAGATCATTTTGATAAGTGCCGGTCCGGAATTATGTGGTTCCTAAAGCGGATTAAAAATCCATGCCCCTTAACAACAAAAATATGTGTTTAAAACTAAACAAAAATTTCATCAAGAAATGCCCTTATTCAAAAAAAAAAATTCATCAAGATTCCTAATATATTGATTTATCATGTTGATAAAATAATAATTTTATAACGTTCATATGCATTTGACATGTTTCTTGAAAATACTATTGGTTTCTGATTACACGACTCGTCTTGTTGCATTTATAGCTCATTTCATATATTGTTGCCAACAACAAGCATAGTATTAAAAAAACAGAACGATGCTTAAAAGAAGAGGAAAGAAGACGAAAGATGAATAGACTTAAATGGAATCGATTTGGAAAGGAAATTAGTTGCTTTGTTTTTCCCAAACGTAATTAATTGTTTGTTCATATACATATCATTTGATGCAATATAAAAAGGGAAGTTTATTCAAATAGTACATATTTTAGGACAAATAATTAGAACCATACAAATCTTTTTTTTTATTACTGTCATTTTTAAATATCAAGCGTGCCCTTTTCTTATGTTATGAGAAAAAACGTATTTACAGAAATGTCATTACTTTTTAATGCTATGTAAGCAAAAATCCGGCGCCACGTAGGAAACCGCTGCCGTGTTTTCATTAAGTCAGTCGTAAAGCGCTACAGCTGTCGTTACAGCTGGGTTGTTATTACGTTGTGGCTGAGTTAAAGAACGCGGTTGACTTAAGATAAATTGGCTGAGTTAAGAACATAAGTCAGCCGTTAGTGATGGCTGACTTACAGAAATATGGCTAATTTATGGGATAACGGCTGACTTACGTACATAAGTTACAACTGACTTATACATCGGTGGTGTGATTTCTAGAAAATTCGGCTGAGTTGTAGTTAAGACATGGCTGAGTTATGTTTCGCTGGCTGGGTTAATGAACATCGTCTGGCTGAGTTATTAAATTTACGGCTAACTTATGAGAGGTTGTTACGGCTGAGTTATATTTAATCAGCTGTAACTGGCTGGATTAATAGTAAACTCAGCATAATTACGGCTGACTTATTAGCGAAAGATTAATTACTAGAATATCATTCGTTTGACGGCTGATTTATTTGACGATACGGCTGACTTATAATTTTCCATCCTAATTATGGCTGATTTATTAGCCAAAGATTAATTACTGAAATAGTATTCATGTTTCAGCTTGTTTACGTTGTACTTGATGACTGGTTTATTTAGACTGAGTTATGTGTTCGTTTGGTGACTGACTTACCGATTTTACATGTCATCATCGATGTCATCAACTCTTACTTGACATGTCATTACTAACATTGAAAAAATAAAATAAGGATTTATGTTAGAGATGCAGAGTTTTATTCTTCATTCTTCATTCTTCATCTTCTTTATCTATCTTCTTCATCTTATTCTTCATCTTTCTCTGAGATCTGATGGATCTGGTAATTATTTTTTCGGCAACTGGGTCTAAAAGACATAGATTTAAAAAAAATAAACATCTGATACAGATTTACTGCAGTCGTCGTCTTCGAAGATGGTCGGTTGAAAAATATAAGCCACAAGACCTAAGAGGATTACATACAATTGGTGCCCCAAAAATCAATATAATGTTTCGGCGGCCAAAGCCCAAATTTTACAAGCTTTATCCTAGGACTTACCCTGTGTACAACATTAATAGGACTTAACATAACATACAACAACCAGAGATCAATCCCCAACGATGAAGCTACAAAACCAAAAAGCGAGATCAGCAATCTCAAGTGAAATTAGCACAGAACCAAGCCAAACTCCGAATGATGTATTAGAGTTATTATGATTATACCGGTGGTTTTGTATAGTAGATGAAACCAGTTTACTTTGTACATATATATATACTAACATTATATACAGTTACAATCAATTGAGAGAATATACAGTTTTGAATTTCTAACAAACTTTGTGTCTCCAAAGGCTATATAAATACTCTTGTAATCCCTTTTGAGAGTATATCTTGTTTTCTCTCAAAAACACATTGGAAAGTTGAATCATTTAGTAATCTAATCTTTGTTTCTTGAGTAATTTGAGTCTATCTCTTCTTCTTAACATGATTAGTCTTCTATCTATCATGGGTTTAAGCTTAATCATGAAGATTAGTGAGTAGACCATTTTTTGATTCATGGATTAGGGAGATTAAGGGTGATTAAACTAGATCTGAGGTGTTTTAGTATAGATCCATCTTATTTCGTGCTTGTAGAGTGTTCTCACACTACAAAAAAAGTTCACATTGATAGCATATTACGATAGCTCATTTTACCGAACTGCTATCGTTTATGCGTTAAAAAATCGGAAACTCTATAACAGCGTTTTATTAACGCTATGGAAAAGTTTTAGTAAACGGGAAGCTAAAATGTTATTTTCCGCGTGACACTTAGTAAAAATCTGAACATTTCCCTCTCTCATTTGTCGTTTCCCTCTCATCTCTCTTATTTCCCCTCTTTCCTCTCTCATTTCCCCTCTTTACTCTTCGAACCCTAGAACACATCGATTTCGATTCAACAACTTTGATTCAATTACCTTATTCCAACCGCAAATTCATCGAATTTTTCATCACCTAAGGTATCCTTGCTTCAATTGCGAGGTCTGGCTCGATTTTGAGCTCAAATCGATGATGTTTCGTTTTCGATTATCTGTTTAATCTCGTGTTTTCTTAGGTTTTGTTTTCGATTATCTGTCAATTCTCGACTGTGCTTTCGTGTTTGATTGATTTCGTGGTTGCTTTCTGTTACTTATCATGCGTCTACGGTTTCAAAATTTTAATTATTTTCTTTCGAGCTTTCTTTCTGTTTCGTATTGTTTCTTATTAAGAGTCGTTTCCAGTTTATTGTTTTAGATTATGAGACTAGGAGCTTGTCACATATAGAATTTAACCTTTTGTTTTGTGTTATCTCGTTTTACTTTGAATTGGTTATTTATGTTACTAAAGTTTTCAGTTCAGGTTAGAACATAGAAATGATGGACAAAGCTTGGGTGCATCTTAGCAGGTAATGAATTCAATAATATATCTTGGTTTTGAGTTGTTGTTGCTTCAACTTGTTTATTTGCTTTTTCTTTTTATTCTTAACTGTAGGGTTGATCCTGCTTACGAGAAAGGGGCTTCAAAGTTTGTAGAGGATGTGGCTGCAGCTTCTGGAGGGAATGATATGATTATCTGTCCTTGCATCGACTGCCGTAACATAGATCGTCACTCAGCAAGTATGGTAGTTGACCATCTCGTTACTAGGGGAATGGAGGAGACTTATAAGATGCGGCCTGATTGGTATCTACACGGAGACTTGAACTCAGGGGTTGCAGATGATGGCAGCGTGCATCAGTGGAATGATGAGATTTTGGGGTTATACAGAGCTGCCGAGCGTTTTGATGAAGTGTTAGCTGCTACGGGGGATTTGACTGAGATGGCAGAGGGAGAAGACAAGAAAGAAGATGAGTTTTTGGCAAAGCTAGCTGATGCTGAGACACCTTTGTATCCGAGTTGTGCAAGCCATAGCAAGTTATCGGCCATTGTATCATTGTTTAGATTGAAGACTCAGAATGGGTGGTCTGACAAAAGCTTCAATGATCTGCTAGAGACATTGCCAGAGATGCTACCAGAGGAAAACGTTCTACACACTTCACTGTATGAGGTAAAAAAATTCTTGAAGACGTTTGATATGGGATACGAGAAGATTCACGCATGTGTAAACGACTGCTGCCTGTTCAGAAAGAAGTTTAAGAAGCTTGAGCACTGTCCTAAATGTAAGGCTTCAAGATGGAAGACCAATCTCCACACTGGAGAAAAGAAGAAAGGAGTCCCACAGAAAGTGTTACGTTATTTTCCAATCATCCCGATATTGAAAAGAATGTACCGGTCTGAGGAAATGGCTAAGGATCTAAGGTGGCACTTCAACAACAAAAGCACTGATGGGAAGCTTCGACACCCTGTAGATTCAGTCACATGGGATCAGATGAATGCAAAATATCCTACATTTACCGCAGAAGAGAGGAACATGAGGCTTGGACTTTCTACAGACGGTTTTAATCCATTTAATATGAAGAACACGATGTACAGTTGCTGGCCAGTTCTGCTAGTCAACTACAACTTGCCACCTGATTTATGCATGAAGAAGGAGAACATCATGCTGAGTCTGTTGATTCCCGGTCCACAACAGCCTGGTAATAGTATAGATGT